TTTAAATCGCGCTAAATTCAAAATATTTTATATAACATACTTGGAAGCCAATTAATCATTTCTATAAATTACTTCTCTGAAAACAACTTTAATTTGATATTTGACTACATACATTAATCTCTTTATTTATATATTTAATTAACAAATGAATTTATTAAACTATTAAAATAATATTTAATTGATTTGTCAACTGAAAGGTTGAAGAAAAAAAAATAATAAAGAGATTTTTGAATATATATTTTTGATTTTCATGTAAATCATTTTCAGAGAATGTAACTTATACTGATTGACTCTCAAAACTTTCAAATTTTAAATTTTTATAAAATCAAAAGCCTAATATCTATCAATATAAAATATATAATAATAATATAATAATTTAATAAATTATTAAAATTAATTTAATATAAAAATTGATTATAAAAAATAATTAATAAAAATAAATTTAAAAAAACTGAAACGTAATAAAAGAATTTAAATAAAAATTAATAAAATTTAAAAAGAGGATAATATAAAAAAGATACTAAAATTAAGATATTATATAAATAATATATAATATTTCTAATAATTATAATATTTTTAATCAAACATTATAATTTAAAAAACAATTACAAAATCTTATCATAAAGATTCTATAATTGACTATGCAAATTTGTAAAAAATATAATAAGAACAAATTAATTTAAAAATAAAAAATTCGAAAAGACTGAAATATAGAAAAAAAATTTATAAAAATAATACGAGAATAATGTGACAATTATGAACTCAAGACTAAATAACATAAAAATATATTGAATGATAAACCTATTTTTTGTATTTCTTCTATATTATGTTTGTCATGCTATTTCAAATGAATCCTTTTAAAAAATTTTAGAAATATATTATTAAAAAACAACTTTTAAAATAATATTATATTATTTTAAATATTATATTATTTTAAATATTATATTATTTTGAGATAGATATTATTAAGGAAATAGTTGAAAAACTGGAATAATAATCTTAGAAATATTCACAATTAATCGGATAATCGGTACAATTGTAGTAAAAATAATTGATAAACATTTTTACTAAAATGAATAATAATCACTGATCACAGAAAAAATTTCGTCACGACAAATTGAATAGATCTTTCTCATATTTAAATACTTTTCTAAAAATAAAAAAAACTAATACATCATGTAATATATCACAATCCTTATTAATTTGATTATTAATTGATTGATTTATACGAATCGTGAGCAAATTGGCAGAAATTTGAGAAAATAAGAAACTAATAAGATAAAAAAAATATTTATTGTGAAATCGCAAATCACATTATATATCAAAATATAGAAAAAATTTCTCGAGAAACAAAAATGAATTGCAGTAATAATATTCTTTATTCTTAATTATATTCTTTATTCTTATTCTTTCTTAGCAATTATTCTTTCAAAATCCAGAATCGAAGAAAATTAAATTATAGCCCATTTATGATCTAAGAAAAAATATTATGGAAAAACAATTAGAGGACAATAAATATTTGTTATCAAGAGAATATCAATTGAAGTGTATATGCCAATGTGATTAACATTAAAATTTTTATTATATCATTTCCATCCACAAAATCTTTTATGGTTGATGCTCTTTCTTCATAATTTTGACTAAAATATTCGTACATCTTCGTGAAAATATTTCTCGAATGATAATGATTTTTCCTCAAATGAAATAAGCAGACAATGATAAAGAATCAAGAATGTAAAAGCAAAGAGTGAATGTAATGTATTTTCGTAAAATACATCACATTAAAATGTATTCATCTAGTAGTCGGTAAAATGAAAAGCGGACGTTTGAAATACTCAACTGCCTCAAGTTCGACGAGTCACCTATAAAACTAAATTGCACTTGCCTGACTCGGTCGAGCTAGGAATTTTTCACCGAGTAACATCTGCCCACATTTGTATCCTTCGACAATACTTCGTCCTTACTCTATACGGCATAGACAAACCTTTGTAGGTCGGAAATAACCCCGGGAGGATCTCTGGTAGGACATTGACAGAAAAAGGCTAAGCGACGATATCTTCTTTCAAGGATCAAGAATAAGGTCTGAAAGAGAATCAACGAGGAAGACTGAAGAAAAGGAATTCCTTCGGTTTTGTCAAAAGACTCCTCTTTCCTTTTACCAATGTTTTCAACCTTTCGCTAACTTTCAAACTTACTGGCTTTCTCTCTGTATCATATCTGCTTCCTTCTATCCTCTGTTCTGATTCGCGAAATACATGCAAGTGAAAATTTATTGTAATGAAAAATATATGATTATTAAATTAGCATTTTATAAATTCATAATAACTTAATAATTATTAACTTATTTATTAAGAATAAAACTTCTTTACTTCTTTACCTTGATTAATGTAATTTACAAGGAATTTTTTTCGTAAATAATGTTATTTAAAAAATGTTATTTAATGTAAAAATATAATAATATTGCGCCATAGAATATTTGATATATTGATCTAATTTCGTAAAATCGGTCTATTAATCACTAGTTGTTTTGTTATTTCTGATTTATATTAAATGAGCTTAATTCAATTATTATTATTATTATTATATTATTGTTGTAATTAATTATATTATATTACAATTCTTTTTATATAAAATGAAACTTTTTACCTCTACACTAAGAAGAAAATGGACTGTCTTGATTATTATACTCGATCATTATCGACTTCGATATATCAATTCGATATATATCGAAAAGTTACTATCGATGCGCCACTCGATCGAGCATTAGACCGCGAATTTTATTTAAATAAATTTTTATTTTAGAGACATATTTTTTCATTATAATTTTTAAACAATTTTTTCTAATATTAATTATTTAATTACATAAAATTCTAAATATTTATATATAAAAATATATCATTATAAGTAAATTATTATATATTACGAATATCATGTATCAATATCATTAAATATTTTCAGTTTTAAATGTGTTACAAAATACAATTTTTTTTTAAATAAAATCTTATTTATTTAAATATTTTTTCAAAATTTTTAAAATACTAATTTAAAGAAAGTCTTATATTGTTGTTGCAAAAAAGTATTTTTTCTGACTTCATTTTTTTGAATCATATATAATTTCATAAAAAAGAAAAAAATAAGAAAAATACTTTAGAAGTTTCTATAATATCTCATGAACATAGATAGAAAGAACACATAAAGTTTCTGCGATAAATGCTTGGTACGCATTGTCGACCAAAGAAATACAGAGAAAGATTTTTGTCTATGTGTTCGCTTTATTTTATTTCAGGTCTCCAATCTAGAAAATGGATAATGTTAAAGAAAAGTTTTCGATTTATACGAGTTATGCATTAGGCTAACGTAGTCAGTTTTTTAGAAATTAATGCAATAATTGAACGATACACTTCGATGCATTGAACTTCGTATCAAAAAGCTATTATGTATACTAAAAATAAATTTCAGGAAGCAGTAATTATGTTCAAGAGACAGGAGAAAAGATAGTGAAAAGAAACTTTATACATAGATAAAACTATCAGTTAGATGAACCAGAAAAATAGTATAATGATATTTCCATGATATTTTGTTTCATGTGCATCAATATCATTAAATCTTATGGTGATCATCTACATTCTATGAAATCTCTTTATGTTCTGCTAACGAAAGAGAAGTCTATTATTCAAAATTATCACGTCAAAAGTAAAAAAATATTCAGAAATTTTTTTTAAAAAAATAGAATTCAAAATTGAAATATTGTCGCTCTAAGTATTTATATATAATTTAATGCATTTTTGATGATGATATATAAAATTAAAAATACAAGAAATATATATACAATATATAAATGCCTCCATTATTTTGATTGCAGTATTATGATGATTTGATTGCAGTACTATATGAAGATGCCAAAGTTTCAAAATGGGATATCTAAAAAAGTAGATAGAGATTGTATTTTTTTTTTTAGAATTCATAAATCAGGGAACAATTATAAATATATTATTTTTTATTCTTCATCATTCACCTTTTGTGAAAAATATCTCTATAAATTCATATAAAAAATTATATATACAGAAATATTATAAATACGTTATTGGCGAAAAGAATATTAAATTTAAGTATTAAAATGTTATATACTTTAATATTAATATGTTAAATTTCTTTCATTTTAATATTTTAGACTTAAAAAAATTTTTAATTATGCATTATACTTATATATATTTCCATAATATTTTTAATTTGCTCATTATATTTTTAATTAATTTTTGTGAAACACTTTTTTTGGAATACATCAAATCATTTTTCACAGAATAATTCTATACAAATTTATTAAAAAAAAATATCAAGTATTATAAGTAATTACAACAATGATATCAAATTTCATAAAAAAAAATAAAAAATAAATAAAAAATCAATTAAATAATATAATAAAATAAAATGCAATATGTTCATCTTCTTATGTATTCTTTTCTCGTTCGAATTATATTCAGTAGCTACGATGTTATTAATTAAGGAAGCGCGTAATTGAGTGCACCATTATCGAAAACTAGAGTTACGCTGTTAGTAGTTGGAGATTAATTATTATTAAAGCTCATGGACCCCTAGAGTATTCTTGGATGCTGATGCTGATAATACTGTCTATCTATTGCTCAAGATATATAAATATTAAATACATTTCTTTTTTTATAAAAAATTTTATAAATTTTATAACAATATTATAGAACATTATTTTTCAAAACTATAAATTTTTCCTATAAATTTATAATAATTTTAAAAAATATTATATAATACGTATAAAGAAAAAAACATTCTGTTATAGATTTAATATATAATAATTTTAAAAAATGATAAAAATATAAATGCGAATTTATTGAAACATAAGAATTAATAAAATGATTAAAAAAAAAATACATTCTTATAAATATGTAAATCAATTAGATTATCTTTTCATGAATCATAAAATAATTATTTTATAATTAGTAGAATATATATTACATACACAGTAAATTATTACAGTAGATGAATATATTACATACATTCAAGTATACAAGTGATGGCAAAGAATACTGTACCGAAACAAATTTTTACCTATTTATTGGGGGTATGTGTACCTTCTTCTAAACAAAATGCTGCTAAAATACGAATACGTCGTTTAGAATTAGATGAACATCTTTTAATGGTACGTAAACCTAAAATATTCTCATAAATGCTTAGTTGAGGTTATGTATTCATTTATTATATTTCAGTACTTTAACAAATATGAATTTGTTTATGCTCATGATCCTGAAAAACTTTGTAAAACAGGTGATACAGTTTTAATACAAAATTTACCAAAAAAATTAACACGAATCATCACTCATAAAGTATGTATGTTATAAAAATTAAATTTGAAATATCACAATATTTTATATTTATAATTTTAATTATTATTCACTGTAGGTTGTTGAAGTTATTTATCCTCTAGGTGATATTACAGATCCTATTACTGGTAAAAAGATTGTTGCTGGACAATATAGGTATATTACATACTCTTTATTTTATATATAATACTATATGTATAATGTAGTATAGATATAATATGTATTTTTTATTTTTACAATCATTTAAAATGATTTATTTGAAATTATAATTTTATATTTAACATAACTAGGGATCATATAGAAGATGATGCTAAACACTTTGGAGAATTAAAATCCATGTATAAATATAATGAACTACCAAAAAGAGGAAGCATGGAAAACAAAAAAGATTTTACAAGTAAAAAGTCATATATGAAATATAGCGATGATCCAAAAGATTTTGATCCATATGCTGTAAATCCATAATATCTCACAAATGTATATTTAAATATTAATAGATAATAATATACTGAAAATAACATTTATTTTATTCAAATTAATATCATTTCTAAAAAAAAAAATGTTTAATTTATTAATTTTTCCAGACAAAATTTGTAAATAAAAATTAAACATTTTATGTATTCATTATTTATACATATTAATATACAATCAACATTTTTTTACAATTAATAAAATGATTATAAATGATTTAATAGAAATAATATTAACTTTATTTATATTTCTATATTGCATATATTTTAAATTTAATAATTAAATACAAAATAATTCTTTTATATTTTTTTTGTTAAAAACATTGTTTTAAATTTTTTATAAAATTGCAAACTACATGAATCAGAATTCTACAAACATTTTAAAAATTGACAACAATCAATTCAAAATTTACAAATAATATGAAAATTAATTCATAAAAACAAAATAGCCAATTTGTTAATGAATTATTCAGAAAGAAATTCTCTTTCAAGTGCTGCTCCCATTTCATTCCATTCTCGTTCATCTTCATTATCCATTATTTCCAAATCTTCAACTGAATCTTGTGAATTATCACCTAAATCTAAATCATCAGGTAAACTTTCTCCTCTTCTAAAACGTGTTACAGGATCATCATCTTCATCATCTAATGTATCATCTTTGTCACTTGATGAATGATCATCTTCTGAACTTTCATTAGAAAATTTCTTTTTTTTTCTTATTGGTTCATTTATATTGCTTCCTATTAAAAAATTCAAATAATAAAAAAACTTTTTTTATATAAATTTTTACTTATATATAATAAAATAACATTTAATTTAATAAAATTTTTTGTACTTTTGATTTGTTCAAAATTTTTTTTATGTCTTACAGTTTGAAAAATATTTATAGTCATTAATATATAAATAAAACAAAATAATTTTTAATTTCAGTATTTTTTTGTTATTAATTTTTTAATTAATTTAAAATTTAATTTAATATTCTTATATATTAATATTTTAGTCATATAAAATAAAATATATAAATTAAACATACGATCATGATTTGTAGAATCATCAGAATCAGAACTTCTGTGAAAAGTTTTTTTATCACATGCTTCATCATCTAAATCCTCTGTATCAAAAACTGGTGCATCTAATTCTTGATCATCCATATCTTCTTCAACTTCTTTATCCATAATTTCTATTTCTTCTGGTGTGAATGACATTAAAGGATTAATACTATCAGCAAAATTATCTTCTACATTTTTTTCTGGTTCTTCTATACGTTCTGGACTACTACAATGTGGAGGCGGAATTCTAGACGCACGTGCCTGCAAAAATATAATTATTCATTATATATAATTAAAATTAAATTTATAATTTATCATTTTTCTTATTTTCATTAAAATTAATAACTTTTATTATCACATTTTATTATCATATTTTATTATCATTTATTTAATACTTATATACCTTCGTAGTAAGTGGAAATAAACGCTCATCAACATGTTCCCAACGTTCTGCACAAGTCCAAAGCCAATCTGGATTTACAATTTTTATATTTGGATTTTTTTTTGCTGTATTAGCCTTTGCTGTCCCAGGTCTTATAGCAACTAGATGAGTAGTTTTTTCTGATAAATCCTACAATATAATAATACATTAAAATAAAGATATCAGGAAAAAAAGTAAAAAAAAAAAAAAAAAAATTAATATTACTTGTGCTACTTCTGCTCCAAAAGCTCTGGCAACTTTATAAGCTCGACTTTGATGAAGTTTTTGATGAGTAGGTATTAATCCACTAAAAGTTAAATGTACTCCTTTTAATACTTGAGCTCTTACTCGTGGAATAATGTCTCTTAATGATTTCCGTCCACCTTCTTTTTCTATAGTAGCATAAAATTCAGTATGAATTCTACGAAGAATATCTTCTAAATATAATAAATAATCATCATCATCTTCATCTAAAATATTATTTTCATCAGGATTTTTATCCACATTTTTAATATCTTGTATTGATTCAGATAGTATTAAACTTTCTTTTGTTTCTGATGTTTTATTATCTTTGTTTTCATTATTAGGATTTAGATTGACATTATTTTTGATGTCATCTTTGGTATTTTCATCATTTTTTTCTATAAATTCACGTTCATTTTCTTTACTTTCAACAATTTCTTTAATCTCTTTTTTAAAATTATTATCAACTATATTTCTTTCATTTGTTAATTCAGATGCACCATTTTTATCTGTTTCACCTATATTTTCATCAGTGCAAATCTCATTTATATTTTGTAATTCAGGTAAAATTGAAATATCATTTTTTTCTAATCCTGGAGGTGCATGTATGTCTCCAGTATGACGAAAGAAGTGATAAGGTTTAACTTGAACTAAATTCCCACATCCTTGCCATACATCTTCCCTATCATCTATAATACATACTAAATCATCCCCACATGGAAATAAAGCTCTGTAACAAATTATTTAATAAGATAGAATCTCTTTTCATAAGATAAGCATTTTATAATCATACTTAAGATTAGCTGTTTTTGATGCAGGATCAAAACATTCATCTCTTGAAAGTATTCTATGAGAAAATAAAGTTCCATCTTTATCCAATAATGCTGCTACAGTATGTGCATAATTTCTTGCTCCAAATGTACATATATGTAATTCATATAAACGACTCATTTCAGAAAGGAAGTGTCGAGTATTAGGCCTTAAACGAGTATGATACCATGGAGAATTTGGTCCATAAAGTTGATAATGATAAACATCCTTAAAAAATATATAAATAATACTTATATTATTAATTTAATTAAGATTAAACTATTAATTAATTTTTAATTATTAATTAATTATTAATTAACGTATTATTAATAAAATATTTACCTTCATATTAGGAGGAACATTATCATTTGTTGTATGAACAATTGTTTGATCAAGATCCACAAGTAATGCTAATTTACGGTCATTCAAAAGCCGTTGTTCATCTTCCTTTCCAATCTTTTCAGCCAATTCTGGACATACTTTTAATTCTGGTACACTATGTACCATTGGTACACTAGCTTGTGATATTTTTGTACTTTCATTTTCTTTACCAATTCCTTCAACTCTTAAGTCCACACCACATTCTGCACATAGATCTTTCATTACAGTAGGATGTTTACATCCTTCTAATGTCATTATCACTTGCCTATAATATGAGTTACTTATATATTTAAAGATAAAAATATAAAAATAATTTTATTAAAACGATATCTTTTTAATTGATATTATTTGCATAAGAAATAATATATTCAATATTATATCATTACAATATATTAAATATCAAAATATCACATAAATATAAGGTTAAGAATGTACCCAGGTTGAACTACATCTCCTTCTTTTGCTAAAATGTTTGTAACACGGCCAAATCGTGTAGCTCGATATTTTTTCTCAGGTCCTTTGCTATCTTCCGTTCCTGAAGTAACATTTTGATATAAAAGTAACACTCTACCCGCTGAAACCATCGTATCCATTCGAACCCTCCATTTCAATATTTTTCCTGGTTGTCCACCAAACGGAAATGTAACTTCTATCGTCCCCATAATTTTTTAATAATGAACATTCAAATATTAAAATATTATCTACAGTTAAAAAAAATAAATAATAAATATCATTAGATTCTTAACGTTTTTGCGCGGGAGATGAAATAAACACACGCACACACACAATGATGTTCAATTCTTCATGCCAATAAGAATATATACATACACTTATTTTACGTATATTTTATCACATATATAAAAACTGAATTTTTATAATTGAATAGCATATTTTTAATTTATATATATATATATATATAATTTATATATATAAATATATATACATAAATTTCTCTCTCTCTCTCTCTCTCTCTCTCTCTCTCTCTCT